TATATCTTCTATTTTCTTTTGCAGAAAAAAATGTGAGTATTCAAAAGTACACTTTTGAGATCTTGCATGTTTGAAATGCCAGTATTCTATCATCACTCTTTATTGTTAGTTTGGCTAGGTAAAGAATTCTTATTAGAATAACTTTATTTTGGAGACATTGTGTCAATGAGTTCTTATTTCCATGTTGCTGATGAGTCTTCTGAAATCTTTAGGATTCCTGATCCTTTGTATGTGACCTAGCATTTGTCTCGAAGCTTATGAGATTTTGTTCCTCATGTTCTGAAATTTCTGTGATGTACCTTTGTGTTGGTCATTTTTCATTTATTATGCTAGATACTTAGCAGACCCTTTTTATCCTTGAAACTGGTTCTGTAATGCTGGACAATTTTCTTAAATTATCTCATTGATGATTTCTTTTCTCAGTTATTTCTGGAAGCCCTATTATATTTATTTTGTAATTTTTATTTGTTCTTTTTAGTTATCGACAACTCGGAGAATGTATTTTTACATATCATATGTACATGGACTGTAATTTCCCATTTTTGTGGTTGTACATGATGTGGAATTACACTGGTTGTACATTCATATAAGAACATAGGAAAGTTACGTCTGATTCATTCTATTGTCTTTCCTATTCCAAGCCCCTCTCCCTTCCTTTCATTCCCTTTTGTCTAATCCACTAAATTTCTATTCTTCCCTCTGCACATAACCTCACCCCCCCCCCCCCCGACCCGAGCACCTTTTATGGTGAGTTAGCATCCACATATCAAAGAGAACATTCAGCCTTGGTTTTGGGGGATAGGAAGCCCTTTTTTATAGTAGAATTTTTCTACTAATCGACATTTCTTTTATTTTCTCTTATTTTATATCTGTTTATATTTTTGCTGTACTTTCTGGAGTATTTCTTTACTTTATTTCTCAAGCCTTCAATAAATTTTTCATTTCTTCTATATTAATTTTCACGAGCACTTGTTTATTCTCTGAATGTCCTATTTAGTTTGTTAATATAATGTCCTGGCCTTATCTCATGCATACATTAACAAAGGATAATTTGGGCATTTTTTTCTTGTGTAGTGTCAGTAGTCCCCCAACCCCAATGTACTTGTTTTTCTTCTGTTTTCCTTAGATGTCTTTTGATCCCTCTTAGT